ATGGATGTTTTGGATTCTGTTATCCATGATGTCATCAATAAATTTCTTAGGGTTAAGCCGCATTTTGTTAAAAAAATGTCCAGTCCATTTGGGTCTCCCCTTTATTGGTTCAGAGGGCGAATTTCAAGGCGAATTTCGCGTGCGATTAATTGAATCTTATATTTCGGCTAATGTTCGGGTAATATTTGTTACCCGTCCTATTTTCTCTTCCATTCGTAACGATGTCCTCCGCCCCCGTCATGTTAATTCAGTAATTTATAAATATAAGTGTAGTTGTGGACTCGACTAAATAGGGAGGACGTTTCAACGTTTGGATTCAGGAATAATGCAACACTTACCCACCGGGATTTTTAATCCGGAAGCCAGGAAAAGCCAACTAAATAATACATCTGGCTCTTTTATTGCAGAGAATGTTATAAATAGTAGGAATTGTGTCTTTGATTTTAGGGTGGACCGTTTTTCGATTTTATCGTGGCCCCACTCTTCATATCGCCATAAGGTTCTGGAGTCCTTGTATATCAGATCCCCTGGGCCTTCCCTCTGTATAAACAGAGGGAATGCTTACTGGGTTTGAATGTTATTGGACTCTAGCTTTCTTGAAACTCATATTTTTTCCCTCCATTGGTTATCATTAATATTAATTAAATTTACACACGCACACACACGCACACACACACACACACACACACACACACACACATATATATATATATATATATATATATATATATATATATATATATATATGAAGAAAATATATACGGAAAAAACAAACAAAAAATCCTTATATGCAATTATGCTGTTTTAATGTTAATATAATGTCAACGTCGGACGTTTCGGTCTAATAAACCATCTTCAGGATATATTCATAAAATATAATTAACATTATCAATACAACATGACAAAGACGATGTACATAAGAACAAGACTTATCCAAACAAATAACTGAAAGTTTTATAAGATCAGCGCTCCGTTTAAACATGGTCACGTTTGTTTTTTTTTTCCGTATATATTTTTCTTCATACTGTCGGATCTATATCCATATATTTGCATACATATATATATATATCCTGGAAGCCTGTCCGTTAGGTAGGTTGTGCATTGTTTTCCTCGGTCCCGCTTGCCTTCAAACTGCCCTGTTAGTGTGCCTCCAGTTCGTCTTTCTTCATTATCTGCTCGAGAAATTTCAACTGTCTCTTCCTGATGTTGTCTTACATGCTGACAGCTGTGAATGATCTCAGCTCGTTTCGGCAATGACAGACTTCAGTACAGAGAATTTTAACGATTTTTATTAATCATGTCGACATCTACATTATGTGACTATCCAGCGGGGGAAGTCGCCCCTCCTCGTTCGGGTGCCGTTTTGGACACAAAAGAGAACGCGTCTACATCGCTGGACGACGGGTAAGAAACAAGTCTCTGAAATGTTTCTCTTATCTCGTTTCAACGCTAGCTCAGCCAATCAAAATCGACTTCCCTATTTTGGTTTACATCTGACCCCAGCAGTCAACATGAGGAAATCGGAGCCGAGATACACTTTCTCCTAAAATAATAATCTGCTAAACTATTATTTAACAGTTAAGCATAAATCCCCTTTGTTTACATTTTTTCTAAAATTTCGTCATTGCTCATATGCTCAGTCCATGATATTCTCAGCATCCTTCTGTAGAATTATATTTGTGCTGCTTCAAGTCTCTTTATTTATGATGAGAGCGTCCAGTATTCACTGCCCGATAGGAGGACTGATAACAGTTAACAGTTCAGTACTCTTTTCTTTGATTCTGACAAAATTTTATTGTTTCTTAATACTTTGCTTAACTTTTGGAAGCCCTCTTTCTCTACAACAATGCCTCTTCAGATTTCAGAGACGCACTTTCCGTCCCTTGTTAAAACAAATCCGTGAGATTTAAATGGTTACACTTCTTTCATTTAGAAATTCGCAGTTTACATATTGTTGTAGAGTAGTTTTCACAGTGGAGGCTTGTATTTCACTAAGTCGGTCCTAAACTAGGTTCGACGTACAAAACGTTAGGAACTTGAAATAATAGTTAATGACGCAGCAATCTAGTTGAGGTGGTTGATACTTTAATGTCCGACATCGACTGACTGACCAACTCCACTGACGATATTTAGTCACCCCCCTCCCCCAGCATCATGTGACACAAGGTCGGTTATTTATTGTGGGTTCTCCGAGCTCGTGGGCTCGGCCCCAAAATATGCCCATTGAACCCGTATAAACGGGCTCAGGGCCGGTTTACCTCCCCGAACGAGACTCCGCCCCGCGGCGTAGCCTCGTTCGGGTTCCTCCCCGCGGCGTAGCCTCGTTCGGGTTCCTCCCCGCGGCGTAGCCTCGTTCGGGTTCCTCCCCGTCCGAAGGCAGAGAGTTCAACCGGTCAGCTGGTCGTCCGACTTCAGACTGAACACGGACTAACTCACTGAGCCCTGGCGTCTGCTACTACTACTACTACTTATTATCTGTGGGAGAGTCTATTAACAATAGAATAGGTATGTTCCGGTATAACACATATTGGCCTGTTTCTTTGGCTGACTATTATACATTTTGTCTTGCAATAGATTTTTAGACCTTTCTTCTGGTTTTCCTTTATTGATGTTGTTTAGAAAACCCGACTAACCTTCTCTAAAGTTACTGAAACATGCATTCGAGTTGAGCGCCTGCTTATGGAACAGGTGGGAGGGAGTGGGTCGCAATGGGGAGCGATTTCCAGTCGTACGCCTGCCGCGCTGAAATACTGTATTCGCTATCTATGTTTACATGTGATTAAACCCTTCTTCACTCAACCTTTTGTATACAGTTTTCTTTACAGTTATACTAACTAGCAACCTTAAGCGTTATACTAAACTTTATAACAATTACCTTCGGTCGGAGTTCTGTAATTGTTCTCGCAAGCATGGTCCGACGTTGCCCGTGCTTGATTCAATACGACTCATACAGGAATCGCTATCACTTGACTTAAAATATTTTTGCCCTTCCTTGCCTTTAAAGGAGTGCCCTTTGCCGTGCTGATGTTGCTACATGCCTTACTTCTTGCCTATCTCACACTGCGAATTTTTTCTAAGCTCTATACTAAATATTAAATCTGTTACGAAAAAAGAACTAAACAAAATGAACACAAAACGATCAGCCTTAAAAAAGGACTCGTAACTGGAAAAACCGAATGAAAAAAAAGAATGTTAACAACAAATACTTTTTCACACCCAACCCAGTTCTGCGGAATCAGAATCAACGTTGAATTTAAGCAGGCGAATGAGCCAATTGGAGTAAATTGCCATGCAGATTTAAATTTTTCCCACTTGTGACGAATGCAGCTATCGATTTTTATTTATTTTTTTTTTTTGCATGCTATCATGCTAGTTAACATTCGTGTCAGTCAGCTGTTGGCTCTCACGCTGGGCAATAGAATCTTCCTGCCTATTCGTGGCAGCAAGCTATAGGCTCTCACTCTGGCCAGTAGAAAATGGCCGCAAACTACATAAAAACTGCCGTAGGAGCATGAAAAAATCGATTATTTCTACTATCGATGGGAGTTGGGAAATGCAAAGTCGATCTTTGCCTTCCCGCTAACTTGGATCATGCGCATGTAAATTTTGGTGCAACTCCGTCGAAAATTGCATCCGTGCATTCGTTACACACACACACACAGACACACATACACACATCCTGCCTTTTATAGATAGAAATTCTCACTCTATCAACTCCATCACTAATACGAAACCACCACAAGGTTCTTCTTCTTCTTCTTCACCTCTACCTTCATCCTTTCTTCCTCTACTTCTTCATTTTATCTGTATCTTTAGCCTTTCTTCGCACATTTTATTCCCCTTCTACTCCATCATTTACTCCTTCATTTTTACTTCTAGTTTCATCTTTTCTCTCTCTTTTACTTCTCCGTCTTCATGCTTAGCTCTCCCTTCATCCTCTTTTCGTTTTCTTCTTCCTTTTTACATCTAGCTTCATCATTTCTTCTTTTTCTTCTTCCTTTTTTATTTCTTGTTTCATCATCTCTTCTTTTTCTTCACATTTTTGTCTTCTTCATTCTTACGTCATTTCTTCTTCTTCTTCTTCTTCTTCTTCTTCTTCTTCTTCTTCTTCACGTTCTTATGTGAATAAAGAACGAATAAACGAATATAATCCGGCACCGATACTTGCTTCTCTTTCGTTGTCCTTTTGTCAATCTAGGCTCTCAGCGTTTTTCCCGTCATGCCTTGTTCTTAAAGGAAACTCTTACCGGGACCGTTTCCTCCTGAACACCGAGCCAAGACTTTGAAAGCTCAAAACAAATTGCAAGCAGCAAACATCACAAAAACAAGAACTGCTCCAAGACATAAAATCTTCTTCTTCTCAACCTCCTCCTTCTTCTTCATCATCTCCAAAAGCTCCTCCTCCTGCTCCTCCTCCTTTTTGTTGTTGTTGTTGTTGTTGTTGTTGTTCTTCTTCTTCTTCTTCTTCTTCTTCTTCACGTTCTCATGTGATTAAACCCTTCTCCACTCCAGAGTATGTATCCAGAGTTTTCCTTACAGTTGTACTAACTAGCAACCTTAAGCGTTATACTAAACAACTACCTTATGTTAGAATTTTGTAATTCTTGTAATTCTAGTAATTCTAGCAATCATTAACGTTGCTTTCATTTTTATATTGGTTATACTTTTTATGTTCCCAATTGATTCACTTTTATTTCTGGGATGTTTTTAAGAGTATTTGCTCCATGGAAATTTGCCAATTTTTGAAAATTCTTTTTGGGCGAGGTTCTATCATTATTATTTTTTTTTTATTTTTTCATTTAATTCTCTGTTTTTCTCTTGTCCTTTTAGTGTCTTGCAATCTCTCCTTTATTTGCTTGCTCTGATGAAGTCAAATTCTTATTGATGTTATCGACTGGAATTAATAAACACCTATTTTTATAAATTCTTCTATTCTTTACACACATAAACAAAGAAATCTGGAGGTCAGCAGTCTCTATCTTTCTCCTTCCTTGTATTTTATGTCTTCCTTCCTTATTTTCAAATCTCATTTATCCTCGACCCCAGCCACCAACATTGATAAACAACAACGTATTATTCTTCTTATTATTTCTTCTTCATCTTCTTCTCCTTCCTCTTCTGATTCGTCGTCTTCTTCTGTGCCTTTTTCATCTATGGCTTCTTCTTCTGTGACATTCTTCTTCTTCATCGTCTTCTTCTTTTTCTTCTTCTGTGGTTCTTCTGTCTCACTCTTTTTCTTCGGCGTCGTCTTATTTTTCTTTTTCTGCTTCTTCTTCTTCTTCTTCTGGTTCTTCTTCTTCTTCTTCTTCATACGTCTACTATTTTTACTTTTCTTCTCCCTCCTCTTCTTCTTCTTCTTCTACTACTACTACTACTTTTTCTTCTCCCTCCTCTTCTTCCTCTTCTTCTACTACTACTACTACTACTACTTCTTTTCTTCTCTTCTTTCTTCTTCTTCTTCTTCTTCTTCTACTACTACTACTACTACTACTTTTCTTCTCCCTCCTCTTCTTCTTCTTCTTCTTCTACTACTACTACTACTTTTCTTCTCCCTCCTCTTCTTCCTCTTCTTCTTCTACTACTACTACTACTACTTCTTCTTTTCTTCTTCTTCTTCTTCTTTTTCTACTACTACTACTACTACTTTTCTTCTTCTTCTTCTTCTTCTTCTTCTTCTACTACTACTTTTCTTCTCCCTCCTCTTCTTCCTCTTCTTCTTCTTCTTCTACTACTACTACTACTACTACTACTACTTTTTTCTTCTTCTTCTTCTTCTTCTTCTTCTTCTAATTATTATTATTATTATTATTATTGTTTTCGCAACTCTAGCGTCATCCATATTTTTTCTCTATTCTCCCTCCTCTTCTTCATTCTTACCACTAGCTTCACCCTTTCTTCTTTTTCTTCTTCCTTTTTTTTCTTTAGCTTCATCCTTTCTTCTTCTTCTTCCCCTTTTTTTTCTTCATCCTTACCTCTAGCTTCACCCATTTTTCTTCTTTTTTCACCTTCTTCTTTTTCTTCATTTTTACCTCTAGCTTCATCCTTTCTTCTTCTTCTTTTTCACTTTCTTTTTCTTCACTCTTACCTGTAAGCTTCATCCATTTTTGTTCTTCCTTTTTATTTCTAACTTCATCGTTTCTTCTTCTTCTTCTTCTTCCTCACCTTCTACTTATTGTTCATCCTTCCTCCCTTCCTTCCTTCCTTCCTTCCTTCATTCCTTCCTTTAGCCCGTACTTCTATGCTTCTTATTGAATTGTTCCAGTAATTTTGCTTCATTGTTATTCACGCTATATCAGCACCACCAACACTCCACCATTCTACCAACACCAACACCTTCTCCTTTGCTTGAAACTTTCTTTCTCTATCTCTTTCTCTCTATGCCTGTCTGTCTATCTCCCTTTCTTCTCTCTCTCTCTCTCTCACTCTTCATATATATATATATATATATATATATATATATATATATTTTTCTCTCCTCTAGATGTCTTTCAGTCTCTGCCCGTTTCGATATTAGCCACACTTACGAGTAAAGGAGAAAGAAAGTGTCAAAGCTCTTCCTGTCTCCATTATATTTGGATTTGCTTCTCTCTCTCTCTCTCTCTTTTCTCTCCCATTTTCCTTTTTCTCTTTCTCTCTTGAACAATATTTTCTTTCTTTTTTCCTCTCTACATTTATAATCCTTCTCTCTCTCTCTCTCTTTCTCTCTTTTTTTTTTTTTTTTTTTTCTTCTTGCTCTCTCTCTCTTTCTTGCTCTCTCTCTCTCTGTCACGCACTCCGTTTTTCTCGGACATCATAAACAAATGCAACTGAATCTATTTTTTTCGCACGGAAAATCAAACACTTTTAATCGATTTTTCCTCCCCGCAACTTACTGACATTTAGTTTGTTCTTTTAATCAAGCAAGAACTTCTCGTGCGAATGTTTCGGTAAATCTCGCTAGACTTTCAAATAGATTAGTTGAAAAGCATCAGCGGAGAAGACGAATTTTTCCCCTCGACAACACCCGTATTATTTCCGCCATACTAAAATTGATCGAGTTAAAAACATTCATCTAGGACAGTGTAAAACGGGTGGCATTTTGTAGAATATCCGATGATCTCAGTTAAATCCGTTTTCCAATAAGACTGATCGATGCTGTCTTTGATTTCTCTTTCCGATTGAACGACAATAGGAAAGTTTGTTTTTTTGTTTTTTTAAATGCGAAAAACTATCATTATTTTATCTCATTCTATAACCCTCACAGGTAGTTTCATCTAACAAATTGTTACAATATTAAAATACCAACCTGAAAACTCAAGTCACGTTCTCACATAGTCTCGTCAGATCGAGATTTTGATACGGATATCATGCATAGCGTCAAATCCCTTCAGAAATATCTAAAAATCTCTATATCTAAATATCTCATCTATATATCTGTTGAATGATTTAGACTTTGCGTGCGCCTACTTAGACGACATCATAGATTGTTGAAACTTGACTAATGCATGGAATAATAATGCAACACAAAATGTACTTAGAACAAAATGTATTGAAACAAGAAAGTGTACACAATATTTACATATAGTCTTTTGTATATTCCTGGTAAGACTGTTCCTGGAGAATGTGTTGACTGAGTCGCAGTCGGGTAGAGTCACTGGTTGAATCTCTTGATTCCTCCCTCTCTTCCCGGTACCAACCATATTTATATGGTCGGTACTCCACTATGCAAATTAAGGTGGATCCTACCACAACAATATCTAAACTGTCAGCTGTATAAAGCCGCTTCCTAGGTTTATGACGAAAATTTTTTGAGCGTGTAAAGCCTGAGGGTCATGGCAAAGAACATTTTTCTTTGGATATTGTGGACTGGTGCAAAACAATCACAAAGAACTGTACGAAATAACGCGAATCACATCACTTGAGCAGGAGGCACGTACCATGTTTAATGGATGTCAGTTATCAGTTATCTCCTGTTAACTCCCCTCTCCAAGTTCTCCACCGCCTTAGACGGGTATCGAACTCACACTCTTTAGGTCCTGTCACTGAATCTAACTAAAGCCTTTATACACTGTACCATGTGTCCTTGAGGACCGAAAGAGTGTGAGTCCAATACCTGGTTAAGGCAGTGGAGAACTTTCAGAGGGAAATTAACAGGAGATAACTGATAACTGACATCCACTAAATATGGTACGTGGAACTAGAACCGTCTACCCCAGTGAGCGAAATAAAGGGTTCAGTTCGACATTTCAACCACCTGAAGAAGGCCGGAGCGTACAGCGGCTGAAACGTTGTAATAAATATGGCGACAAAGATGAGGACAATAGTCCGAAAAATGTAAATAAAAAAAGAATGTTTTTAATAATCCAAATTCGTTCTTTATGCCATTCTCAACAAAATATGAACCTTTGATTACACTATATTTCTACCGGCTTCCCATTTTCTAAAGAATGTTTTGGGGGCATCGTACAATCGATTGTTTACCATTTGGTGTACAAGATATTTATAAAACTAGTATTATGACAAAAATATACTTTTAAGGGATGCCATTTTTGTGCTCACTATCAGGGATAGAGCATATGTAAATATAAATGTAGACACTAACGTAAACACCGCGATCTTCGGGCCATGTGTATTTTGTTTTGGTTCGACTATTTATATATGCTGGTCAATGATACATTATAGGTAACAAGGTATATTATATCATCCTGAAAGTTGCTGGGTGGATGGCAACGGCCATGTTTCAAATTATTCTAGAGGTTATTGAGTAGAAATAATGGTGGATCCGATTATAGTTATTTATAGCTGTTTTATAATATTGTTTGTTTTATTTATTGTTGATTATTATTATAACATTTTATTGTCTTTACGTGGGCATTACTAGTTTGTTAATTGGTTTACTTTTTACTTATACTTTTGTTTATTGTTCAATTTATATATTTATTCATTTTTTCGCGGAATGCCTATATGGTCGAAATTTAATAATGTATGTACCCGTGTACCATGCGACCTTTGAAGACCTAATATTCAAGCTATAGTCAATGGATAAATAGTTTGTTCAACGGCATAGCCAGGACCAGCAGTACATACGCTAATATTATATTTCGTCTATGATGCAACCCGCTAAAAATTAGCTTCAAAATTAGGCCTTCAAAAGTCGCATGATACGCGAGTATATACGTTAATTAAAGTTTCTATTGGACATAAAGTGGGGGGACCGGTTTTCTATTATTATGAATTAATAAACTGATCCCCCAAGAATCACTATATTATTATTATTATTATTATTATTATTATTATTATTATTATTATTATTATGTTTGCTGTTAATTATTATTATTATTATTATTATTACGCTTCCTGTTAATTATTATTATAATTTAATATTATTATTACGCTTGCTGTTAATTATTATTATTATTTTTTGTTAATTATTATTATTATTATTATTTATTATTATTATTATTATTATTATGTTTGATGTTAATTATTATTATTATTATTATTATTTTGTTTGCTGTTAATTATTATTATTATTATTATTATTATTATTATTATTATTATTATATATTCCTGTTAATTATTATTATTTAATATTATTACGTTTGCTGTTAATTATTATCATTATTATTGTTATGTTTGCTGTTAATTATTATTATTATTATTATTATTAAGTTTGCAGTTAATTATTATTATTTTTTTTAATATTATTATTATGACGTTTGCTGTTAATTATTATTATTATTTTTTAATATTATTATTATTTTGTTTGCTGTTAATTATTATTATCATTATTATTATTATTATGCTTCCTGTTAATTATTATTATTTAATATTATTACATTTGCTGTTAATTATTATTATTATTATTATTATTATTATGTTTGCAGTTAATTATTATCATTATTTTTAATATTATTATTTTGTTTGTTTATAATTATTATTATTATTATTATTACGCTTCCTGTTAATTATTATTATTATTTAATATTATTATTACGTTTGCTGTTAATTATTATTATTATTGTTATGTTTTTGTTAATTATTATTATTATTATTATTATTATGTTTGCAGTTAATTATTATTATTATTTTTTAATATTATTATTATGACGTTTGCTGTTAAGTATTATTATTATTTATTATTATTATTGTGTTTGCTGTTAATTACTATTATTATTTATGTTTGTTGTTATTCATTTTCATTATTATTATTGTTATTATTTTATTATTATTATTATTATTTATTATTATTATGTTGACTTGCTTTTATGCGTGCGTTTCTAGTAACAACATAAAGATAATATTATAAATAAATCTAATGACTGGTTGGGCAAATCGGAAGGATATTAACGTCAATGATGTCTTCTTTTTGATTTACTTGTAAAGAAAGGTCGAAAGAAAGAAAAAAATAAGCAGTAGAGATTAGAAATCATCTCTGATGTCCGCCTCATCTTTTTGTTAAGAAGGTGATGCTTGAGATTTGGACGACATTTGAAAAGCCTATTCTTTGAATATCTTTATTTAATTCTTAGCATTCACGAAGTTGAATCTTGGGTCAATGGTACTCAAGCATATCACGGTTTAAATGATTTAATGAAAGAATGAAAGAAAGAATAATGAATTTACTGCACTCGATAAATTCTAAAAAATAAAAACTAATAAGCAAATTAATAATAATAATAATAACAATAATAACAACAACAATAATATTAATAATAATAACTAGTCGAAAACCTGTCTTGCAAAATATTTTTATTAATGAATCTATAAGTAATGGCGAACAAATGAAAAGATTTGAAATTGGCAACTTTTTCCATTTCACTGAAGCAGACGTTAACCAGTTCTGTCTTTTCTTTCTTTCTTTGTTGCTTTGTTGCATTCGCTATCTCTTTCTTTCGTTTTCTCACCGAAACAAAGCAGCCTCTCTGGTATATCAGTTCTGTGTTTTCACGCAGTTAAAACGGAATAGTTCGTTATTCATGAGGTATTGGCAGGACAAAAGGGTCGTGCTTACTACACAAGGAACTAACTAACTAAGGAAGTTAGATACAAGCAGAATTATAATAGAGATGATAATAATAATAATAATAATAATAATAATAATAAGAAGAAGAAGAAGAAGAAGAAGAAGAAGAAACTGGTATGAACACCATCCAGATCCGGTTACGGAGATAGGACCTGTCACAATTCTATGGGACTACACAATACACACTGACAAAACAATCAAAGCCAACTGCCCAGATATTGTTATTAAAGACCACAAACAAAAAAAAGTACCTCCTTATTGATATGGCAGTTCCTGCTGACTGCAATATATCTTTGAAGATATTCAAAAAGCTGTCAAAATACAAGGACCTTGAAATAGAAATCTCAAAAATGTGGCGTATGGGAACATCAACAATCCCTATTGTAGTTGGAGCCTTAGGACTGGTTGGAAATGATTGCAGTAGACTAATTGAAGAGATTCCTGGAAATCCATGACTCAAAGAGATACAAAAAATTGTTCTGATAAGTACAGCCCACACTTTACGAAGGGCTTTATCTATGTAATTTAATTTTTTTTTTTTTTTTTGTCAGTGGAAAGTGTCAGGATGCCATTTCTAACCTTAGGTCCCTGGGCGGGACCCTGAAAGAAATGTGTAAACGCCAGAAATCAAAGAAAATAATAATAATAATAATAATAATAATAATAATAATAATAATAATCATAACCAAATTCTTTCAGGTTGAACGGTATTAGCAGTCACACGTCTTGGAAGTCTCACACGTATTCGTCACAGTGTAAAAGACCAATATCTGCACTGAAAAATTTGCAAC